TAATCTTGCTTTTTATACAAGTTACTTTACTTATATTGGAACTATGATACTGAGACTATAATTTGTCTACGCAATTTTGTAATTTTAGAAATTTCATGTACCGAGTAACGTTATTTAATATGTTGGTCTGGAAATACAATTTGCTTGCGCAATTTTGTAATTTTAGAAATTTCGTGTACCGGGTACCGTTATGTCCCATGGGGTCGTGTAGGTCAAATGTTTAAGTTGGACTTATAACAAAAAATAATGTGTCAACCGTTTTACTTATCTTGGGCACTCCAATATGGATAAAATTTTAAGGAACAAGAGTGTTATTTATCTAACACTATTGTATGCCTATAAAGAATACAAATTCGTTTTATTATGCTTCTTTTAGTCAGGGCCTTAACATGGGCCAGGACAAGTTTTAAACCAGTAACTCATTTCTAAGACGTATGTGGGATGTTAAAGGTTGTTACTTACTCTTATTTTTGTTAATACTTAAGAGATAGTGTTAGACATACGGTAATAATCGCAGCGCGTATGCGCAGGAATTTCATACCTTAATTTCTCCCTCACCTTTCCTCAATCGGAGAACCGGCCGGTCGGCAGATCTTAACCCCTTTGGTGTCGATATTCCACGTGTTCGAACCAAACGGTCTTCTTAATCTTCCGTTATGCGTTCAGCAAAGAAGTAAAATAATCCATCGGTATCTTCAAGGTCTCTGTGAATAGGCTTTTGTCATGCTAAGATTTATCATCTAGGGCTTTATCACCATCACCTGTGAAGACTGTAGTCAAGTACTAGTTTATAATAAGAAAAGATTGTTTGCCACGAAAATTTTACACCAATACTTCGGTAAGGCAAACATCAGCCTCTATCATTTAGAAACTCTTATTTGGCCTCATAAATAAAAAAAATCTGACAAAATTTTAAGAAAAAAATGAATGGCCTAATTTTCACTATTGTGGTCGGTTAGGTGGCCAATTTTATAGGAATCTATCAGTGACCTATTGTGAGCTTCGCACACACATTACGGACAACCGTTGAACTGTTATCATGAGAGGTCAGTCAACAAAAAATTTATTGATGTATCCGTCAAACGGAGCTTTATCCGTCATTAGTCATTACTGCGTTGTAATTATCAAGGCCACCGCTTATTAAAGCAGGTGCGTCACATTTCATTTAGCTCTAAACATAGTGATTTATATAATCTTTGTATTGTTATAGAACTTGTATGGAACACAATTATAGCTGTATCTCCTTTCCTATGTTTTTGAGGCAATTGCTTAGGTAGCCTGAGCTTGGTTTAAAATCATAAATCGGTCTAGATGAGGGAAAATTGATAGGATATATTTTAAAGGTTTAACTTATATAGTCCCAACCAGATGAGTTCCTGGGTTTGAATCCTGGGTCAGGCCAAAAAAGTAATTCAGTTTTTCTGTCAAGATATTCTCAGTAACAGACCGGAGACAGAAAGTTAGCGGTGTTTTACACCCATGTAACCCCATCGGAAAGCACGTAAATTCCTTCATCCTGCGCCTGACCTGATCTCCTCTTCGGTTGTATCGGATTTCCGTCCTATCGAACTATAGAAGTGAGGAAATACAGATTGCACCTGTTTACCTTGGGGAGTCACTTCGGGTCTCCAATATGTTTTTTCATTGTTATAATTTAATATTTCTAATCTGAAATAAGATATTGATAAAAAAAGACACTGGTTTTATAATCGATTTAAAATCCGATACAATATAAGTCGATGACTTACACGATACAACGAAACCCAACTTCAAACCTCAAAACAAAGCCGACCAAGATTTCCCACTGGAGCTAAACAATTGCATGACTGGTTAATTTGTGATGGTCCCTGCTTTTCTAACAACACGAGCTAGTCTATTTCCTATATTTTCGCTAAGCGAAAGTAGGTTACGTGATGAATGCCTCTGTGTGTGTAAGAACTCAAACGTATATGCAATGAGTCTCCACTGAAGACTAAGCGGGAATATCACATCACCAGTTAAAAGGGTCTCCTTTTCTCTTCAACTATACTACACACAGGTGCGTTAAGCTGCTATTTTACGCTAGGATTCTGTGAAAGTGTTGACCTTAGCCGGTTAAATCAACCCCTTAGTGCTGCGGTTATTATAGTGTATTAGTTACTATCTAGAATTACTAGGTACCCAAAAGAATCGGTAATGAAGAACTAAGAGCTTGCCATAAATTTCACAGTACGCGAGCAAGCCGAGTACGATTCCCGCCGATAACAAAAAAAATCGGTAATTTCAATTTTTAGTACTGATTTAGCACGTGTCTGGCGGAAGGCGGTGAAGGAAAACATCGTGAGGAAACCAGCATATCTGAGGAATAAAATATGTGAAGTCAGCTGATATGCTGTGGAATAATTGCTCCAAAACCCTCACAGATATAAGAGTGGGTCTGTTGTCGTCGGAATAGCTGTAACTTCACTATAATTTTAATGACTAGAAAATACTTATTATGAAGAGACGCTGGTCATTCAAGCGTTTTTTTAATAAGCTTTATGTTTTCATAAAAAAGTATTTCTTTTTCAGTACACATCCATTACAGAAAAAGATATCACGGAGTTGCAGCGAAGGTATATCGGTCTCATGGAGAAAATTCGGCCCAATGCGGTTGGCTTAGTCGACGCTTTCGATTTTAGGGATGAGGTTTGTAGAAAATATATCTATAAAAATATATCATTTAGACAAAAGGCCTGACTTTGAAGAAAAAAAGAATATTTGAGATGCGTTTACTGTAGAATCCTAAGAAATATATTTTAATTATATTATATTAGGTAAATGGAATTTCTATTTCTAGAAACATATGTCAATCAACAAAAAACAAGATGTGTCTCTAGGCTTTTTTTAAAGTATAGGCGTGACAAACGAGCACACAGTCTACCTTATGTTAAGAAGATGCTGTGACCCATAGACATCTATATTTATCTTCAATTAAAAATCAAAATACAGGTGCGTTGCCAGCCCTGAGGACTGAGATGGAATGCCTCGTTTCCAGTATAAAGGGTCTCCGGTGCTCTACACTCTCTGTTTGTTGGCTACGCGGATCCCAGCTAAGTAATTTTTAACACGTTCGATTACCACTAATATCGCTACTAGTATTTTCTTCACCAGCCCCTAAAAAGTTCACCGCTGTTATCAGGTCTCTCCCGTGGTAGTTAGGATTTACCCTAGTCACCACGCCTTGCCGGCAGTTTGCAGTACTAGACGTCTTGTACCTTTGACGCTAATCTGTTTCTAGAATGATCATAAGTTAAACTGCCATCTACCAGAAGCCTAGAGATCCTTCTGGGATATTTGTAGTCCTCTTACAATACCCATGGAGAGCAATGGGGTTATGGGAGTCTTACGTCGCAACCACACTGCAAATTATATACTTATACAATACTACTCCTTTTTCTTTCGCCGTTTCTTATCCGACGTAAGGAACCCCGTTTCGTAATGATGGTTGATTTAGAGAATAAAGAAAATATATTTGAAAAGCGTAATTTTATTATCTTACGTTGAAGTTTCACTTCAATACATACGAATTTTTTTATACTGACCTATTACAATGGGTCACCCGGTAGGTTTATTATTAATGCTGTAATGCGTGTAGACATTCTCTCATTTCGATGTGTTAACGGTATTCATAAGTTATGACGCTTGGTATACAGTAGGAGTAAGATATCACAAGATAAATGTTTTATTTCTTAATAAATATTTTCATATATTTTAGATTCTGAACTCAGCATTGGGCGCGTACGACGGTCGGGCTTACGAGCGCTTAATGGAGGAAGCCATGAAGAGTCCTCTGAACGTAGAGCCCGTGAATGAGACATTCCACAAATACCTTAAACCTTTCATGCTCGGAAAATTGTGATTTTCAACGAAGAATCGGAATATCTGTTAGCTAGGATGTGAAGCATTCCATTTTAGTCCTCGGAATTAACAAGACATCTGAAGCTTTCTTTGTTTGGAGTTTTCTGCAGGTATAAATAGATTGCAGTTGACACCTTATCTTCAGGTGGCCTGTAAGTTCATTTTTTTCTTTAATTTTATAAAAAATACGAAATCTTAATATGCAGAACTTAGCTTTCATTTTTTTATAGAATAAGGGTGGCAAACAAGCACACAGTCCACTTGATAGTAAGTAAATGATGTGTGATGTATTTCAATGCAGAACTTAGCTTTCATATGGTTGGCGTGTCGACTTTTAACTTTTGCTTAGTAAATGTTTACTTATATTAATGTAAATTTTTGGAACTTTGATAAAATAATTTTTTATTCATCAATTGTTTTTATTTATAATATCAGGGAAACGAGGATATACGGCCATATAGGGCGACAAATCCACTATGTTTTCGTTTCTCTAATATCCCATCCAAGCCTTCCTTGTCGCTCGAGTGTTACTTAACTTGTATTTGGACGAGTGGTTAATTTTTTTTTTAATAAATAAAATATAAATTTTTTTTTAGAAGAATGCACATCATTTAGGTGTACATATATAAAAAAGGCTGATTGCTAATACGAAGGAACTTTTAGGAGTATTAGCTAGAATAAAGTAATACATTCTGTATGGATCATGACAAAATTATTTTGTTGATTCTGTTCATGAACACTTTTTTATATTCTCGATAACTCATTCTTAAAATGTATAAGTCGCTAGGCCACCATTAAATTTATAAAAATAAATAAATTAAAAATTTTTTAAGAGCAAGGATACAGACCATCCCTGAAAAGATGTAATCATATCATTTAAAGTTTTTAGTTTATAAAATATTTAATGCCGGAATAAATGAAACGAAAATATAAAATTCTCTATTTATTTATTATCTTCATACTATCACATAAAATAAAATTAATTACGCGGACGAAATTTAAATAAATACATTAAATTAATTTTGAATATGGCAAGATATTTGAAGCAAATACATCAAGACAAATTACTAGAGGGATAAAGTCGTCTTGAAGTGATTGCTAACTACTCTTAATTACGGCATTTACAAGCTCTGTGCACTAGCGTGGGCCGAACCGAAACCATGAGTATCGGCTGCCGAGTTGACAACCCTGTAGCCGGGAGCCAAGCCCTGCAAATTCGCAGAAGACGAAGCATGACCTAACCCTGATGATTGGGCATTTGCAATAGTACCAGATCCTCCAAAACCAGTGCCATGAGAAATGGAATTAGAATTACTTGATCCAAAACCATTTACAGATGAGACGGCAGATCCATAGCCCAGCCCGTTGCTGTTGGCAGAGGATTTGGCGTAACCAGCTCCATGAACATGTGCACCTGTGTTCACGAAACCGTAGCCCAATCCATTAGCGTTGGCGTATGATTTGGCGGATCCGAAACCGTTGTTGGCAAAGGAATTTGCATTACCATATCCGTTGGCAATGTAGTTTGCATTACCGTATCCGTTGGCAAAGTAGTTTGCATTGCCGTATCCGTTGGCAACGGAATTAGCAAATCCTGCACCGCTAACGTCGGCAGCGGATTGTAAAGATCCATAAACTCCTTGTGTGCCACCTACGGAATTGGCATTTACGTAACCATTGGTGTTCGTAGCTGATTGAACGTAGCCTACTCCATTGGCGCTTGCAACTGATTTAGCAGCACCATAACCTTGAGATTGTGCTACTGAATTAATACGACCTACAGCATTCTGCACATCAGCTACTGTGTTTGCAGATCCGTACCCAGAACCATGAGTACTAGCAATCGAGTTTGTATAACCAGCTGCATTCCCGTCAGAAGCGGATTGGACAGTTCCAAAACCGTGTGTATTAACTGTAGGTGTGGCGGCACCGAATCCCGATCCTTGAGTATTAGCAGCTGAGTTGGCATATCCTGCACCGTTGACGTTAGCGTTTGCATTGGCCGTTCCGTACCTTAAAGAATTATCACCGTGGCTTTGAGCGGTGGATTTAGCAATACCCGCTCCCGCTTGACTATCGGCGTGTACGTGGGCAACGTTTGACGGCGTTCCATAAAGAGTTCCGAAATGCCAGCTGATACCCTTTTGACTGGTGGTCTTTGCAACGGAGGCTCCATTAATTTGATTTATATTTGCGTTAGCAGCCGCACCATATCCTTGTGTATTGGCTGAAGAGATGACCGCATTTCCAGCAACGTCGTTCAGTGAAGAAGAAGCTGACCCATATCCTCCGTTTGTCTTGCTTTCGGCTGAAGTAGTACCAAGACCACTTTGTGTTTTAGAGGATGCAGAATTAACTCCGTCAGCCTGTGTTTCAGCTGCTGTTACAGTTGATCCATGTCCATTGTTTGCATTTGAAGATGCAGAACTGAATCTAGAGCCGTAGACGTTAGCGTTAGAAGAAGTTACACCAGTAGTGCCAACACCTTGAGTGTGAGCTGACGACTGCGCTGAATCAGAGCCAGTGGCAGCAGCTGATGAAACAGAAGATTCGTAGTTGCCATTGCGGATAGCGGAAGATTGAGCAGATGTTAGTGCAGGGATTTCGCTTCGTGCTTCCGCTGGTGCTTCGAAATTTTGGTACGACAGGATCGTTGCAGGTGGAGGAATGGGGACATATGCAACTCCGTTTTGTGCGTGTGCAACAGATTTAGCGGAGTTCCCTTGAACATCGTATGCTTCAGCTTGAGCGTCAGCTTGTTGTGGGTAGACTTCGGCAATCCCTTCCCTTGGCGCAAATCGTACGTTGATGACTTCAGCGCTGTTCACATTATTGTCGTCTCCTGGTAAGTTTCGCCCTTCACGATATATGATACCTGTGAAGTAATTAAACATAATTATTGCAATAACTTTTAGCAATCCAATTTTATAGCATTTTACATATTTTTATATTTGCCATTTACTTTATTTACATTTACATTTAAATTTTCGAGATATATTTCGCACCTTTATTTATCTATTCTTTTTATTTGGTATTGACAAAAAACATTAAAAAAACTTACCGTTTATAAGGAGTGGAGTGGACTGACATAAGGCGAAGCAAGTGAGGACCACAATGAACTTGGCCGCCATATTAATACTTGATATTATACGACAGCCGACGTCTGAATGAACTGATACAGTGAGAGCATTTCTCCGAGCATATATACTTAAGTGATCGTCCACCTCTACGGATCACGTTTGGCCTAAAAGTCGTGAACTTCACCTAGAAAAGTCGCCGATCAGTCGTAAATATCAGTGATGGTTTACGGTAGTTCAAACTGATTTGAGCGAATGCTCCATTAACGTTTTTACTACGCTTTGAGGTCGATTTGAAAATTTTACATTTAGCGGCAAGACTGGATTGATGTAATATATTTTTTCTGAGTACACTGACCCGTGTTTAATATGCTTATCATAATATTGAGACAAAATCTCAAACACCTAAATCTTGTCGTTTATTACCCTCCTGATACACATCTTTCTCAGAAATTACAAAACAACTGATAAACTCATGCAACACGTCTTTTATGATTTGTAGTCAAATTTCAGTAAAATATTTTAAAAGTTATAAACGGAAAAATAACTTAAGTACTCTTACGTAACGCCTCCGTACATCAAATAAAAGGATTTTTCGTAGGATAAAGTACAACTTATGCAAATTATTAATACAGTTGTATGAATAAAACAGTTATTTGGTTTAACTTTTACATTGACTAAGGTTATAACTTAGTTCACGGATAACTTATATTTGACGATTGCGCAATATTTTTTATAGAATAACGATGAATAACAAGTACAGTCCACATGACGGTAAGTGGATTCTGTAGCTCATAGAAATGTCTCTATGACATCTATCCTCGATTAAGAAACAAAATGCAAAGTACGTTGTTATCCCTGAGGACTAAGATTAAAATTCATTGTTTCACGTAAAAAGGCTCTAAACTCACCATACGAATCACAGCATCATTAAACATAACGTTGGTGTTCCGTCAGAGCGTGGTCCTTCCCCGGTGGAGCCCTCCCATTCCTACTACAACCATAATATAGCTACGGTAAATACTAAAACTGTAAAATAATTGATTTTACTAGGTGGTATGAATCTCTTTCTTACCAGCAGTCCGTCAGGGTAAGTGCAATCCTCCTAAATATCTCTACCGCCATATAGCAATGCTGGCGTTGCTGTGCTCCATTCTGAGGGTTATAGAAAGCCAGTTTAATTACTGGCTGTGAGTCATTTCATCTTAGCCCACAGATGTTTCAAAGCAAAGACGGCTCGTTGCTTGAAGTTGGACCTGAACCTGGTGAACCTGCAGTGTCTACTGCAGTAGTCACCATCTGGTGGAGTATAAGTACGTTTGTCACTTGAATATTATAAAAAACGCATCCACAATATAGGAGGAAATCCTTACGTATTTAATATGACACGGGTAACGTTTTATATAACAAAGAGAATGTTCCTCCGTTACAGCCTATTTAATTTCATTGCTAAGCACAGGCCTCCCTCGTAAATTGACTACTAGGGAAGGGAGGGGGGTATTTGGCATAGAATGGTTGCCGAATCCATGTCTTTTTTAGGGTTCCGTAGTCAACTAGGAACCCTTATAGTTTCGCCATGTCTGTCTGTCCGTCTGTCCGTCCTCGCTTAATCTCTGTGACCGTTAGCACTATAAAACTGAAATTTGGTACCAATATGTGTATCAATCACGCCGACAAAGTGGTAAAATAAAAATTAGAAAAAAATGTTTTATTAGGGTAGCCCCCCTATATGTAAAGTGGGAAGTGATTATTTTTTTTAATTTCAACCCTAACGTGTGATATATTGTTGGAAAGGTATTTAAAAATGAATATAATAATAATGTCAATAATTTCGGAAATAATCGCTTCAAAAGTGAAAAACAATGTGTCCCCCCCTTCTAACTTTTGAACTATAAGTTTAGAAAATAATATGAAAAAAATCTGAAAAGTATAACTTTATAAGGACAACTTTATCACGTTGAAAAGACGACGGACAGCTCGGTGGCGCGGTGGCTTAACAATTACTTGTAGCGCTAAAGGGCGCGGGCTCGAATCCCTCACGGGACAAGTGTTTGTAAGTGAAATTTATTTGTGTACTTGTACTACCTCCACGGTACAGGAGAAAATCTTAGAGAGAGAGCCAGAATAACCGACACAGCCTAAAGGATTAGTTAGTTGCAAATTGGCTAAGGGGAGGCTATACAGCTAAAAGAACCGACAACAGATGGAGAAAAAAGATTCTCGATTGGCAGAACCATGTACCTGAAAACGATGTGTAGAGCGGACCCACAATAGATGGAGTTACGACACACAAGCAGGAAGTCGATGGATGCAGGTGGGTAAAGACCGTGTTCTGTGGGATTCCTTAGGGAAGCCGATGTTCAGCAGTGGGCTTGTGAAGGGATGTAATAAATATCGACGTAAATGGCTATCAAGGCGTGGGTTAGGGGAATTTTAAATGTATTATATTAAATGTATTTAAGAAAAGAGTTTAAAAAAACATTAAAAAACAATTTTATATAAACGGACTGCTCTGCCCTTGAACTTCTAAAGCTGAATGCTCAACCGGAAGTCGTAAAACACTAATTACATACATTAAAAATATTACTTCCAAAACCGTTATGTTTATCTATAACAATAATATGTCCAATAAGCATCTTTTTAAATCATGTACAGTATCGATAACGACGTATATTGTTCCGATGTTTTATTAACATTGCTTTAATTTAAAAAAAAACAGGTTACTGGTACAATTGCGATATGATCTCGGACAAAATGTTGACTTGCAAGTTACAAGCTACAAATACTGTTATCTTTGATAGTTTGTAATCGACAATCTAGGAGTCCATCCGCGTAGGGGACGTACATATTTTACCGCCTTATAACAGTGCCTGCATTGCCGTGTCCCGGTCTGAAAGTTATATAGATAGATAGGCATTCAGGCATAATTACAGACTGTGAGGCATTCCGTCAGTCTTTAGTGGTGACTTTATTACTTAAGTTTCATTAAAAAAAATAACAACGAGTAGGTTCTCAAATCTATTTTGTTTTTAAGCTTTGCTAAAACTATTAAACGTAACTGAGTTATAATTATAACCGCACAGTGGGGAGTAAGACAATTCGTCACATATTTATCCCAAGGGGCGAATAAGGGAAAAGCCTGAAATATCAAATGGCTGGTACATTACGGAGTCCTAAAGCCATCCCGTTTACTTCAGCCTTAAGAACGCAGATTGGCGACAGAAAGCAGTGTCAAAGATACGAGACGTCTGCCACTGCAATCGCCAATTTGCTAAGCGTAGCGATTATGACAAATTCTCTCTACAACACGAGAGGTCATTCAGATAAAGAGGCCTTTCTCATAGTCGTGTAACGAGGGTTTCGTCTCTCTTAGAATAAATGAAAATAAATCCTGAGGGTATTACTAATTTTCGTATAGATCGGTTTAGTGCATTCAAATTTTATAAATTATTTAGTATTGATTTTTCGAACGTTAGATAAAAGTTATACCCGTACTTCAAATAATTTTAATCCTGACTGAATATAAGAGTGAAACGAATGAACTTTTGTTTTCGAACAAATTTTAAATGTGTTTAAGTTCTATTTTATCCCACGAATAACTTTAATTTGATGATCGAAACATCGGCCTAAATTAATTTCACTATCAAAAATTTTAGAATGAAATAAACATTATTTAAAAAAAAAACTTTGATACCATTTCCTCTTTGTAGAAGTTTAAATTTTGAATTAGTAGTAGACTAAATAAAATATTTTTGACCTTTCTCTGGCAGACACTAGTTTATTTCATTTGTTATTTATGATCATAACATCATTACCTACCGCCATGAGTACCAAATTCATCAAAGAAAAGTACTAGCCCTTGTTCACACTATTGGGTAGGCTTTATTCCTATATTTCTTACGGACACACGCGGTCAGTTAAAATGATCAGTTGAACTGACGTACATCAAAAACTTACCGTGAAGATGGAATCTTAAGTTGAAATTTTCAACTGACGACAACCCACGGATTTTTTCGGTCGCACTGTCAGATGAAACTGCTCAGTCGAACTGATGTAAATCCAAAAACTGATCGTGAGTGCGAAATCTTAACTTGAAGTTTTCTATTGATGGCACTCCACTAAGTTTTCCGGGTGCGCCGTAATCCACTGGCTTCAGTTCATTTTAATTACTGGTAAACCTACTTTCTTAGTAGCTACATACATTATTTCTATGCTATTAAGATTTTTCATTATTTTATATATTTAGAGAATTTCGTTTGACGGAGGATGAAGACTAAGGTGACTGTGATGATGTCACCTTCCTTATGATTGACTCAGAAGATGGGTAAAGGATCTTAGTGATGCTACGTAGAATCATCGTGTTTTTTTTTCAACTCATTTTCAAAAAGGTTCATGAAGACCTAGATGACTATGATGATATCACCTAGCTGATGGTGGATTTCGAGGGTTCCCAGTGATGTCACTAAATAGGACGATCGTGTTTGAACTCATTTGAAAGAACTCATAAAGACCCAGGTGATTGTTACGATCTCACCTTTCTGATGGTGCAATACGAAGGTGGATATAGGATCTCAGTGACACCACTTGATAGGACAATCGTGTTTGACCTCATTCGAAAGGGCTCATAAAGACCTAGGTATCTGTTATGATCCCACCTTTCTGATTGTGCAATTTAAAGGTGTATGTAGGATCTCAGTGACGTCACTATATTTATATTTTTATTATAATAAATTTATAGGAGTCACGCAATTTTATCTGTGACACTTATAAAAAAATGTATAGGGGGAGAAAACACAAGGAAAATAAAGAAAACTAAACTAAATATAGTGTACCTGTATGTATTATGTAACTTAATACAATACGAAAATGTATTATTTTATAAAACTCAAAATGAAGAGGTGGTAGAGGGGGTGATTGTTTTGGTGGGGGAAATGCATGTTGAGGATAAGATGATTCCTTGCTACTTCAGAAATGAGGGGAGGTGAGAGAGTGGGATTGTCTCACATATTTGCTTATCAAACAAATCAAATAAATTTTTTATTAATTCTAGACTT